CCCGCCCTCGGGAGATCCCAAAACCCTCCCTTGGGAGATCCCCAAATCTGCCCTGGGCAGTGCCCAAAACCCGCCCTTGGGAGATCCCAAAACCCGCCCTCGAGAACCTCCTGGAGAAAAAACCTGGGCCTGATCCCCATCAAATCCCAGATTTTACAGGCAAACCCCACAGTGCTCCTCTGACCCTCACAAAACCTGGCCACTGTTTTCCCATTTTCCCCTTTCCCCTTTTCCCCATTTTCCCCTTTTCCCACTTTCCCTTTTCCCCTTTTTCCCCTTTTCCCCTTTTCCCCATTTTCCCCTTTTCCCACTTTCCCTTTTCCCCTTTTCCCTTTCCCCCTTTCCCCTTTCCCCTTTCCCCTTTTCCCTTTTCCCCTTTCCCCTTTTCCCTTTCCCCCTTTTCCCTTTTCCCCTTTCCCCTTTCCCCTTTCCCCCTTTTCCCCTTTCCTCCTTTCCCTTTTCCCCTTCCCCCTTTCCCCTTTCCCCTTTTCCCATTTCCCCTTTCCCCTTTTCCCGTTTTTCCCGTTTTTTTCCCCTTCGCCCACTCCCTGGGTTTTTTGGGAATTCCGAGCCGCCGGGGTTTGTCGCGCCGGGGCAGGCGGTGCTTGGCAGCGCCGGGAACAGAGGAGGGAATTTTCCGGGAAAAACAACCCCGATCCCGCCCGCTCCATCCCAAAATCCCGCGGCCGCTCCCGGGGCTCGCGCTGCGGGAAATGGGATTCTCCCAATTGTCCCGGGGGTTTAATTAATCCTGGTGGGATTTGGGAATCGCAGGGGTGGGAAAAACTCAACCCACAGGTTGTCCAAATGGGGATATATCCACGTATTTATCCAAAATACAGCGAGACACGCTGATATATTTATGTAATATTAGGGATTTTGTAATATATATTGATATAAAATAGGGATTTTAAAATATATATTTATATCATATAGAAATATAGCAAAATATATTTATATAATATAGGTGTTTAGCAGTATATATTTATATAATATACGTATATTATAGATTAGATAGATTAGATGTATTAGATAAATACATTGATATATCCCTATATTATATATAGCAGTACATATAACATGTATATATTAACACTATATATAATATAGGGATATATTGATCTATTTATCCAAAATACAGGGAGATGCACCAATATATTTATGTAATATTAGGGATTTAGTAATAATTATTTATATGAGATAGGGATTTAGCAAAATATATTTATACAATATAGGGATTTAGCAGTATATGTAACATGTATATATTAACACATTTTATATATGACATAGGGGTATATTGATGTATTTATCTAAAATACAGGGAGATACACTGATATATTTATGTAATATTAGGGTTCTAGTAATATATATTTATATAAGATAGGGATTTAATATATATTTATATAATATATGGATTTAACAATATAGGGATCTAGTAATATAT